TTCGGGTTCGTCGCTTAAAGTACTGTTGATATCTCCAGAATCATTCTTACATTTTGGCCACAAACGACTATTATTTTACTTTAATCTTTAATATCTACAAATAAAATACCTAAATGATTTTATTAATGTTCTATTTCTTATTGAGGTATTCGCAAGACCCTAAAAAGGCACCAAAGTGAATTGTTACTGCAAAACTTTTCAATAAAAGTTTCAAATCTAAATAGAAATTCGGGTTCGTCGCTTAATGTACTGTTGATATCTCCGGAATAATTTTTGTGTTATGAGTACAAATGACTGTTTAATTTAGTTTAGTCATCAATATTGGTGAAAATACCGTGGATAGAAAAGGTTAGAAACGAGAAGAACAAAGAAAGTTGTGGAAAAAAATCCAAATTAAAATAAAGAAAAGATGAGATAGGATGATAGGACACCTTGTCGGCATAAAGTGGCAGTAAGAGATATATAAGAAGCAGGAGGAGGACTAAATAGAAGCAGATTAGGTTACTATTCATAAACAGTTGGGAAAATGTAATCATTGGATATGCTTAAGATAAGAAATTTTTCTATTACGTTTTATTTGTCTATTATTGATAAGCACTCGCTATATTCCAAATCTGAGAATTTTATAAATAATAATAAAGGTAATTTAGAAACGGCATTCACAAGGTTATACAGATGCGTTTTTGTCCTTGAACCTTGATATATTCTATTCTGGTTCTAAAATCTTTAATATTTGACAGTACCTCCCGTTGAAACTCGAGAAAGGAATTTATAACAAACGTATCCCGAATTGTCTAAGATTCGGTGTGTGGTAAAACAATAAATAACGTTTCACATTATCGATCAGAACGATTAAAGGATAATTTTTCTATGCGACTCCTATAACGTTTTTTTTTGTTTTTTAAAGATCCAAATCGGTCGTATCTTTCTCGTCATCTTTTGCAAACAAAGCGGTTTTGTGTTTCGTCGTGTCTACCTTGTCATGTTCGGTGTTTAAAATAGTGTGACTTTATTATTTTTTATTCGAGAACGAGCCCAAGATTGTGCTGTCACGTTTTGTGCTGAAGCAAAGGAGGCCTGGGGCGCCTTTCAAAGGTGTAAAGGGGTTAAACTTGGGCATTGATAGGGACCGCACGCCGGTAGCAACGAACCAAACGGAACGTTATCAAGATCAAATGAGACAAAAATAACAATGCCATCAATATGTTACGTGAATTTTAAGTGTTAACCGACACGAAAGGTGTAAATGTGGTTTGCGATACAGAAACAACTGTTCTTAGAAGATAAACGGAACGAGAAATACTCTTTATCAATCTGTTACGAATGCTGAATGCTGTCTTACGGTAAGTAAAATTGTCCCAGTCGTCAGGGATTCGCTTGAGAATGGAAATCCTTGAAACCAGGCAAAAAATTAATGAGCCACATACTCTATCTACCTAGGATAGGTGCGAGACATTTAGAACAATTAGCTTAACTTCCCATACGTCAAAAATCTTAACTAGAATTGTACAGAGGAGGATGAAAAAAAGGCGGAAGAACTATTAGGGGAAAATCCATTTGGGTTTAGAAGAAATAGAGGAACGCGGGAGTCTTTACGAGCAACAACAGAGAAAACGGTAGAAAAAGGAAAAAGTGCGTACATATAGAATTTGTAGATTTAGAAAAAGATTTTGACAATGTTAAATGGGACAAGATGTTAAATATACTTAAAAATGTAAGTATATGTTGTAGAGATAGAAGAATGATACTTAGTGTGTATAAAGAGCAACAGGCAGTTATAGAATTGGGCTTATATAGATACTATGGATAGAGAAGGTTAGAAATGAAGAGATATTAGAAAGAATAGGATAACAGAGGATTCTATGGAAGTCAATAAGAAATAGACGAGATAGGTTGGCAGGACTCATTCTCAGGCATGAAAGTCTAGTCAAAGACATATTAGAGGCAGANTTCAGGATGTGGGATGTTCTAGTGTTAGCGAAATGCGAAGACTAGCTCAGAATAGGAAAGGGGGAGGTGCGTGTCCAACCTGTCTTAGAACTGCCGACCTTATGATGATGATATTCTACTTCATGGTGGTATAAAACGACCATACAGGAATCCATTTTTGACGCGTACAAAATAAATGATGAAAACAGTTATTTACGTGGGACCACCTGTGTCTAAAAGTTATAACATTCCTGCAACCGTAACTCAAAAATGCTTCATTTTAAATAAAATATGTGTAGGACTTTTCTTATAGGAAATTTTATCCAGAAAATTATAGATGTTAAATGTCATTAACGTACCTATAGTTAATACTTTTTATTCACTCATCTTTTATAAATGAACACAAATAACAAAATAACCAACACTGTTCTGGAGACTTTCGAGCAATTAATTGTGTTCTTAATTTTCCTGAGCATTGCTACTGAATATAACAATAATAATTTAAAATTGTGAAAACAAAAAACGCAGATACAATAAAGCGTTCGGTACTAATCCTATTTGCGACAAAAGGTGACCTGAGGCATCGATAATCAATTTGAGGAAACCAAAGAAAATTCCGCTTAATCCAAGAAGATACTAGTTAATCGAAATTTCCCGTAGCCGTCGTCTAGTTGTTTAATTATAAGCGAATTACGTCCGATAATTAACTAGACCCGTGCGTAAATAACTACAAGTTCAAGGTACGTTGAAGAAGAAAATAAACCTATGAAAATAACCCAAAACCGACAATTTCAATTCGACTTTCACGTTTATGCAAAAAATTTGTCACAATTTAATTAAATTTAAAATTAAAATGGCAATCAATAAAAGGTATTTCAACTTCTGAAAACATGAGACTAAGTGTAACTGGTCGTCCACCCCCTTCCTAAATTTAGAAGATAAACTTTTATTTTTTCATCGAATAATTGATGGGATAAGATTAAATAATTTTGAAATCCGATTCACCCCTGGTAGCTTCGATAGACGTCTGTCTAAGAACTTAGAAGTAGTAACCCCCAAACATGTTGCGGAGATCCTTAACCTTAAGCAATCCATTATTTAAATAAGAACCATTAACGTATGCCAGAAAAAAATTATAATATAATTATACTACTAGTCTTTTAGACCAGAAAAATTGAGAAAAATCGGGCACTCCTAGTCAGGTACGAACAGGTTTTAAATTTAAATAGAAATTCGGGTTCGTCGCTTAACATACTGTTGATGTCTCCAGAATGATTCTTACATTGAGGCCACAAACGGCTGTTATTTTACTTTAATCTTCAATATCTACAAATAAAACACCTAAATGATTTTATTAATGTTCTGTTTGTCTTCTTGATGTACTTGCAAGACCTGAAAAAGACATCAAAGTCATGGAATTTAATAAAGAAAATGAGAGACGGTTTGATAGAACATCTTGTCAGTATTGAGTTCTAGTTAGAGAAATATTAGAAGCAGGAGCAGGACTAAATAGAAGAAGATTAAATTACTGTTCACAAATGTAGGATCTTCTAGTACAATTTGCATCCAGAAGAGCCTAAGTATATGAAGGTTTTGTGGTATTCTGACTTCAATTTCCAATTTCCTTTCCAATCTCTGATGTTGTTGACATGTGAACTATCAACAAAACATCCTAAACCAATTTTTGTACAACTTCTATTTTTCTTGCCTTTTTTCTTGAAAAGAATTATTTATTAAAGTATAGGTCTTTTTAACTTCTTAATTGGGAACGAACTCTGCCTATAGACAATAACCATAAGCTCATTCTTGCGTAACACAACACAGAGCATTGCAAAATTGATTAGCAAATGCATAATATTGAGGAACATTCACATTATTGTATCGTAACATGAGAGAAATATTAGCAGAAAGCCAGATTCGTTTTGGTAAAAAACGTCTCAAGAAACTATTCAAGAGAGATGTTGTTAATTGGAGTAAGCTTTTGTATAACAAGTGCGTCGATTGGATGTGGAATTAAAAACTCGTTGAACCAAACAACAATACGAACATTCCTTTCAGGATTATGCATGTGTAGTGTAATCATACACTCTTCAGTATCCTTAGATTTTACTTTCGCAAAAACCTTTTCATACCTACAATATGCCCCATTTAATGTCGTATTTTATAAGAGCAAAGTTTTTACTTTCTTATTGTGCTAATATCAAATCATCGAGAGTGTAACTGGGACTTTCAAAAGTGTATTTCGCAGATGTAATAGAGAATTTAGCCCAATATTTAAGGAATCACGTCAATTTAGTTCGTACACGTAACAATTCTTTTGTATGTTATTTTTACATGATGCAAAGTTTGCTTTCTTTGAATGGGTAGCAGTAATCAGAAATTATCTCCATTCATGAAGGAATGGAGATCAATGAAGCACTTTTACTTACTTTAAAGCTCATCACATGAATGATTTCTAAATAAGAAGTCAAGTGGCTTTCCTATCATTAACAGATGATAATGGAATAGTAAAACATCTTCAATTTATTTCAGTTCTTGGATGTAGAACTCGTTCTGATGTGCCATGGCATCTATACGATGTTTAAATTAGAATTATGTAGGTTATATAGAGTTTTCAGATACACATTCAATGTGATCTAGATTAATGAATCTAAACTAAACGAAATGAGCTTTCAATCATAAACCTTTCAAAGACATTCAAGTTAAGGTCAAGGTACCAACGAAAATCCAGACCACCTTTAATGAAATCCTTGGCCTCGCTAAACAGATCATCACTACCACCACTTCATCTAATCAAAAGAAACGGTGTTACCTTGTTTTACGTTGAATGAATTACATTGTAGGAATTAGGCTTTATAATTTCTCCCACCTCTAATAAAATGACAAACATCAGATATGTAAAAATTGTCAAAATTCTTGTGTGTCAGCATTGAGCCAACATGTCTTTAGGATCATTTTCTTTCTAAAAGCGCCGTGAAACTGCTAAACAGACCACATAAGAAAAAGGTTTTTAATTTGCATCTGCTTTTTCTTTTAGCGGTCCCAGATATAAACATCGGTAACTAATTCATCTGACTAGTTGTTTCAAAGCTGCACGTCGAGTCGTTACGGTATGATTTTTCTGGTAAGTGTGGCTTTTTCGACGTTTAGTGAAAGTGAACGGTGGTGATTGATCGTATTACTATCAGCAAGCCAACGCGATATATGCTCTTCAGGATTTATCTTCTTGCAAGTTAATCCTTTATGGAGAATATGTGCAGAAAAATATTAGTGATTCGAAACAATTGGATATTCTCTTCTAATTTTATTTTTGATTTTTAATGAGTCGACTCGATACTTGTCTTGGTGCAGCATTACTTCATTGTAATATTTAACCAAGTGAATTGCAGATAAGAAATTATTTAAAGAGTGTTCCACTTGGATCAGAAACTAATCATAATCAACATAGAGCAAATTCTTAGAAAACAAAAGCAACAACCGGAGTGTATGATGTTACCTTCGGGATGCTTTCGTGTGAAATCAAAATATTAAATGTATTCAGTATCTATAAAAATTTCGTCGTGGTTTTCACATTTATTAATTTTCCTACTAATACACATTCGTTGGCTTATCAAAAAAATGATTTGGAAGCACTTCATCATCAACGATTACCGTTGTGTGTTTAATCAATTAGATAAAGAATCATTATAATAACAATCCACAACGATCACTTATTTTTGTATTTAAATAAATGTGTGCTTTGCTAAAGCTTTAACAGTATCTCATTTAAATTTAAGTTGTACCTATTCAAAGCTACTATTTAATTAACTTGGTTAAATATAAGGTCTGTATTAAACCAAATTTCAAACTTTAAGTTTATCGCAATTGAATGAATTAGATTTATTAATAGATTATTTAGAAAGTCACCAGTAAGAACAATCTTGGACGAATATCCAACATTTTTTAATTTCACTCGATTGATATTTTCTTAAGAATCCTAGATCACGTTCTTTATAATGAGTAGCTTACACGTAATAATAAATGCAATTTTAAGTTTATCTTAAAAGTTTGAGTATTTAAGTCTTTTTAATCAGCTATGTGGTTGGCAATTTAGAAATATTCAATTTCAATCTATTTTAACAAAATTATGCACTTTCTTTAATTTTATTGATCTCAGTAATTGAGATTTGAGAATTTTTTTGAAAGATAGAAAAGGAGATGGGTGAATAAAAGCGACTTTCTGTCTGTAATATGATCAAAAAGTTTAATTAAATATTTAGTAGTCCAGAACGTTGGCGCTGGTGGTAATTTTTTCATTAAACAGAAAAATCAGCTTTATGATAAAAATATGATACAGTAATCTAATTATAAAAGAAACCCAGTCCCCATCTAAACCATCTTATTAATTTTTAGAAATCTTAAAAGCAAATAGTAATTAAAGTTGTTAACAAAGTTGAAGAATATGTAAAAATTAAATGACAACCACATGAAGAATATGATCCCGTTCGTTTGAAGTTTCATTGAAATGTTAAATAAACACCAAAAACTAGGCAACAGAATGTTTATTAATCCTACAAGATTAATTTAATAAAATTCTATTGAACATTAAAATAATGCACTGCAAGACGGGCAGGTTTTTAATAAGTTATTGATTACATTGATATATATTGATATATAATATATATTACATCAATAACTTAATGTAATCTTGTCAATAATAACGGCAAAAATCCTGTCGAAGGACCTTAATGTAAACTTTGTTCTATTTTAAAATCTCAAAGAGAAGTTTCAGAAAATTGAACTCCTCCAATCGAATGCACAAAAAAATATAGTCTAATTGAAAGCTTCTTTTTTTTTTTTGAAGACTTAAAAATTGTCCTGAAGTAACCTATTTCTTAAAATCTTTTATAAAAT